GGTGGTGGTAGTAGTAGTAGTAGTAGTAGTAGTAGTAGTAGTAGTAGTAGTAGTAGTAGTAGTAGTAGTAGTAGTAGTAGTAGTAGTAGTAGTAGTAGTAGTAGTAGTAGTAGTGATTGGAATCATCGTAGTAGTAGTTGTACGTGGAAGAAGGAGGAGCAGAAGGACCACTGCAAACCCACCCAAGACTCATCAACGATGTTGGAATACAGCCTCCATCTAAAATCTGTTTGCAAAGGCCCCTACAAAAATCAATTTCCATTGAGGAAAGTGCCTCTTTGGGGGACACTTGCGTGAACATCTTGAAGCGCCCCAGAACACAATTTCCAGGGCATCGACGCCACGAAGCAAACTTACTGCTGCACCTTGACGATCCGGAATCGTGGCCAGAACGCTCTTCCCGGGATTTTGACAACACGAATCAACGTAACTATTGTGCCCCGACAATCCCGAATCGATTGAAAACAACATATTTGTTTCATCAAGCCACGAGGATCAATCAATGATACCTCTGCGAACGTTCAGAAAACATATGCGCGGCACTAGGGCGATAACCGCATTTTTGAAAATGCCTTCAATGCGTGAAGCTCCTGCAACAATTTGAAACGAATGTGCGCGGCGGAAAAGCGATAATCACATTTTGAAAACGAGCCGCCCTGAATCCCTGAAGCTCTTTCAACTGCTTGGAACGAATGCGCACGGCGCTAAGGCGAGAACGCAGCTTGAAAACGAGCCGCCCTCAACCCGTGAAGCTCTTGCAAATGTTTGAAACGAATATGCACGGCGCTGGGGCGAGAGCCACATGTTGGAAGCGCCCACCCTCCATCTGCGAAACTGTTGCCAGTCTATTAAGGACTGAGATTCATAAGTGGTGAAGACGTCTCAAGCGACGCGCCTGGCCCGCCCGTTCGCCTGGCCTCGGGGTGCGACAGGGAGGAGTTATTCATATGGAATGAAGCAGTAGAAGGAGGAGGAGGACGAGGAGGAGGAGGAGGCAGGAGGAAAAGGAGAACGAGGAGGAGGATGAGGAGCAGAGGGAAAGGAGATGCAGGAGCAGGAGAAGGACTAGGAAGGGGGAGGGTCTCCTAAAGCGAGTTATAAGTCGACGCCCCGCCACGACTGGTTATCCAACCACTGGGTACCATGGCTAATGTTAGGGTCGAAAAGCCGAACGGACACATCCCGGACAGAAGTGCTCGAAGGCACGGGTCCGAAGAATGAACAGTAAGACGATTCAGCTTGCACGCGCACACATAGGAGGAACGCAGAGGAGAGGGAAAACGAGAAGAGGGAGGACGCACGCAACACAGAAGGACACGAAGGGCAGAGGGAACAGGAAGGCGGAGGCAGGCGGAGAAACAAATAAGTGATTAAAAAAGAGAGGCCCAGACACTTTGGTCAAACCTTAACCTTGGTCTGGCTTGTGAACGGCGACAACAAAAAACGATTCGGGGCATACATGTGTTACACTCCTCCGCTGCCTGCAGTTGTCACTGCTAGAACCTTGCTGGCAACACGAGCGTAGGCTGGCACGCTCATCGGGCAAGGGCTTCACACTCAGGCTATGGAGTCATTATTTCCCGCAGCGAATCATCCTTATCCATGTCAGTAGTCTCGTTGTCTCGCGCGTCGCCGCCCAGATTGTCGCTGATAGAGTGCACGCTAAGGATTTGGGCGATGCGGACAACGGCGGAATTGAAGATCTTTTCGGCGTCTGCTTCAGCCCTGATCCTCGCCCCGTCCAGCGCAATAATATGGCAACGGCACTCTGCCCTGGCATGTCAAGACGTATCAACCTGCTGATCTCCTGGAAGTTTACCTGCAACTGGGACCATTGTTCTGGGTTCAAAAGCAGCATCGAAGCAGCTTGTTGTACAAACGCAGCTCGTTCGGGTGTAGCTGGTCGCCCTGTTTCTGCACAAAGATCGGTGACCCGCCCCCGAAGAGTAGTTGACCAGCTAATGGCGCAGAGAACTTGAGCCTTACGAAGTTGTTCAAACGTCGTTGGAACATACCAGGCCATCCAATCCATGCGTGCGGGGCGTCGTCCCCATACTTGAACACTGGCATCCTGCGTCGCAGCCCATGGGATGTGGCTAGAGACCAGTCGCTGTCTGGCCTCTTCCACTTCTTTTGGGGCGGATCCACGTGGCATCTGTATCTGTTGCAAAGAGCCGCCCGGCGGTAGATTACCTCCGCGCCTTCCTGGGACGACGACGAAGAGCCCCTTTCAGGGGAAGCAAAGCCCACCGTGAGGAAGATGTCATTGACCCAGCAGCATTGCAGGTGGACCGAGAAACACAGGGGTACCGTGATACGACGATTCCGAAATGGGCAGCGCCCCTGATGTCCCTGCCCACGCCCCTGGAACGCGCCTCAGGCCAGGCGGAAAATACGCCTGGCAGGTCTTGATGCCCAACTCGGCCTTTGGAACAAATCTAATCCATCCCAGCAAGCATCTGCGCCACCGTCTTCGTACCTGTGGCCATTTATCGAGCTACGCTCGGCCGAGCGGGAAAATGTGCAACCAACAGCAGAAGGTGGGGGCGGCCTGATCGTAGCTCAACTGCACCAGATCGCCGTTGTAGCGCGGGTGGCGAATACATCTGGACAGTAGGTCGAAGTCGAAAGGGTCGCTTACGACATCTAATCGGAACACCTGTGTGCAACGAAACGAGCGGTTCTGTGCCGCATCCCCAATCCAAGATATGCACATGCAAAATAGAGTTGGTCGTACAAGCACCATATGTGAACACTGCGGGGCCAAAACGTAGGACTGCACGATTACTCAAGTCAAGAACTCCCTGCTCACGAATCATGGCCTCCGCTTGCTGCTTCGGCTGCTCGTCCCATTCGTCCTGGTCCAAGTACCTAAGTAGCTTCGTCCACTCGGAATACCTTCGTCGAGCGTTGCGGCTGCATGTGAAGGCGCGCCGACCACTGCAGCTGTGCCCACGTTGTCATGACCTTCCCGAGCTGCTCGCTCAGCCACCAGCGGTTGGAATACAGCCTTTGCCAGGAGGTGAGCAACGTGCGGCACGCAATAGCGACGCCAATGCAACGCATCAGCCTAATCGTTCAGAGCAGGAGGGTCTTCCATCCAATGACCTGTGTATCCGCGCAGTGTGGGTTCCAGACCACGGTTGCGCCCCAGTGCTCGCTGCCGCTCTGGGCCCGCCTGGGCTCGAGAGCCACGAAATTTCACCAGGCGCGGAGAGAGGAAATACGCCTGATTCTCCCCCTGCATCACCAAACTCATGCTACACTGCACCAAGGGCAACGCGCAGCACATCGAGAGAGAAAGCACATAAACATGTGCGGGCCGCGCGCTGTGGCAGACGGGTGCCTGACTGGAGGGGGGAGAGAAGGCTGGGTAGGGAGGTGCACACCCGTGGCCGACCAAGATGTGTGAAGGGGCGTGGAGGGAGGGGCAATGGGCAGAGGGAGGGGAGGGAGGATGGCAGGAGAGAGATCGAGTTTGTGAGTGAGCGAATGAGAGAGCAAGAGAGAGAGAAAGAGAGAGAGAGAGACCGAAAGAAAGAGAGACAGGAAGAGGAACATTCAAACATACGGGGAAACACAAACATATATATATATATATAGAGAGAGAGGGAGAGGCAAGAGAGGGAAACTGATCGATGCGAGGCCTTTTTTGGGAGTCGACGCGGCACGGCGCCCAAAAGAGACAGAAGCTGTACACTCACAGATGACGTGTGCCCCGAGCCGAAGACTCGGACGCCAGCCAGAGGACGGCGTCACACCGTTCTGGGTCAGGGGACGGAGGAGGAGTAGGAGGAGGGGGAGGAGGAGGAGGAGGAGGAGGAGGAGGAGGAGAAGGAGGAAGAGGGCGAGGAGGAGGAGGAGAAGGAATACGAAGAAGAAGAAGAAGAAGGAGCGATGATGGCGATGATGGTGATGGTGATGGTGATGGTGATGGTGATGGTGATGGTGATGATGATGCTGCTGCTGGTGATGATGATGTTGATGATTCTGATGATGATGATGCTGATGATGATGCTGCTGCTGATGATGATGCTGATGCTGGTGGTGATGGTGATGATGATGGTGATCACGCAACGCCCGAGGCGGCCAGAGGGGGCCACGAGAAGTGGACTCGAGCCAGAGGGGCCACGGAAAGGCCAAACGCAAACTATTCGGCATGTGATGCGGGGCCGCTGCAGGGACCGAGGGCGCTTCCTTTTCGAAGCCGAGGTCGCCCCGCACCGCTTCGCCCCGAGCTACTTCGCCGAGGGCTCGGGGGGATGCAGGCCAAGAGGGGAGGGGGGGGAGGGAGGAGGAGGGAGAGATGGAAGGGAGGAGGAGGAGGAGGAGGAGGAGGAGGAGGAGGAGGAGGAGGAGGAGGAGGAGGAGGAGGAGGAGGAGGGGGAGGAAGAGCAAGAGGAGGGAGAAGAGGAGGATGAGGAGGTTGAGAAGGAACAGGCGAAGGAGGAGTATGAGGAGAAGAAGGAAGGGAAGGATAATACTCTTTCGGTGAAGCTGGGGGCAATGACAGGACGGACGCCTTTCCAGCAATCGCGACGCAATTACATTTCAAATCTCACGGGGCCATGACCACCGCCAGGACTGAGCCTGTCCATGGTCTACCACCGTCCTCTTCCTCACCCTCATGCCTCTTCCTCTCCGCCTGCTCTTCCTCATCCCTCGTCCCTTGTCGTCGTCCTCCTGCTCCTCCCCACCTCCTCCTCCTCCTCCTCATCCTCCTCGCCCTCCTACTCTCCCCTCCTCATCCTCCGTCGTCGTCGTCGTCCTCCTCCACCTCACCCTTCGTCTTGCATCGTCCCCTTCGTCCTCCGTCCCAGCCGCCTTCCGCCGCCGCCGCCTCCGTCCTCGTCGTCGCCGCCGTCGCCGCCGCCTCCGCTGTCGTCGTCGTCGTCGTCGTCGTCGTCGTCGTCGTCGTCGTCGTCGTCGTCGTCGTCGTCGTCGTCGTCGTCGTCGTCGTCGTCGTCGTCGTGGTCGTCGCCGCCGAGGGGGCGGCGGCGGCCTCAGCCGCCCGGCCTCGTCCGGCCCGAAGAACAGCGCCGCGCACGCCGTGGAGCCCGCCGTGGCCCACGCGTGGGCCGCGCCGCCTCTCGGCCGCGCAGGCCGAGCAGTGCTCGGTGCGCACGGCTGGCGACGACGTCGACGGCGGAGGCGGCGACGACGACGACGGCGCCGACGACGACGGCGGCGACGACGTCGACGACGGCGGCGACGACGACGACGGCGCCGACGACGGCGGAGGCGGCGACGGCGACGTCGACGGCGGAGGCGGCGGCGGCGGCGGCGAGGCCTCCGACGCCCTGCGCGGTGTCGTGTGCTTTTTGGGAGGAGCTGTGGTGTTTTTTGTTTGCGTGTTGGTAGACCTTGGAGGGTTTTCGGGAGGTGAGAGTTTTGAAAGGTTTCGGGCGGATCCGGAAGGTTTCGGAAGGTTTCGGGAGGTTGCGGGAGGTCCTGGGAGTTTGCGGCAGGCTTCGGACGGTTTGGGGAGGTGTTGGGAGGTTGTGGGAGGTTCTGGGGGGATTCGGGGAACTTCTGGGTGGTTCGGAAGGTTCCGGGAGGTCTCCGGAGTTCTCAAAAGAAGTGTTGGCCAGCTCTGGGAAGTTTTCAAAAGGTTTCGGGGGGTCTTGGAGGGCTTTGGGTGCTCCAGTTGGGAGGAGGAGGAGGAGGAGGAGGAGGAGGAGGAGGAGGAGGAGGAGGAGGAGGAGGAGGAGGAGGAGGAGGAGGAGGGGGGGGGGTCGGGGGAATTTGGGAGGCCTCTCGGGCGCTTCGGGGGTGTTCGTGGAGCGTCCTCGTGGAGTGCGGCACGCTCGCGCGGTCGGAGCGTGCTCAGACCGCCTGTGGCCTCGCCCTCCTCGCCCTCGTTTGCCAGAAGCAAAACTTCGATGCCCCACAGAGAAACCAAGGAGCACCTACAGTGGAGGTCCGTTCACAAGAAGCCTCCCACAAGAAACCCAGCCCTGAGACCCCAGGTCGTCCCCTGATCTTGGTGTGGGAACGTCGCGCTCTCCATCGCGAAACCGTCGAAGCCCAAGAAACCCAGGGCACCCTGGAGGCAAGCAGGGTGTTTCTTGGCATGGGCCCCCACTGTCTCGGGCCGGGCGAAAGGGGAGGATAGGAAAGGGGGGGGGGTGAGAATCAGCTCACGTAGCTGATTCTCCCGGCGCCTCCAAGCACCGGGAGGCGCCCACGCATCGAGGGATGGGCCCGGCGGCGGGACCGAAACCAGCTGCATGCAGCAGATTTCGTAACCCCCCTTTCCCTACAGTCCGGGCGTTGACCTAAGGAACCCTAAATAAGGAACGAGGCCCCTCTTTCCCATAAGTTAAGCTTCGACTTCCGATCGAAAACACAAGGAAAACCTGAGGCAAGCTGTGAAGCACGTCAGGAACGCGGAGCCCCTCCCCAACCGAGAGGGTTCCTTCTTCAGGGCCCCGGCTGTATCCCCCCCTTCCGTGCGGCCCGACTGTCGGGCAGGCTGGGACACGGAGCCCCTCCCCCCCGCGAGAGAGGCTCCTTCCGCAGCGGCCCGCCCGCAGGCACCGTGGCCTCCCCCGCGGCCCCTCGCCGCGGCCTGGAGCCGAGCCGCCGACGACGCGAGGAGCGGAGTGCTCGTGGGATGGTCGCGGGGCGTGCTCGTGGAGTGCGGAATGTTCGTGGGATGTTCGTGGAACATTTCTGCTGTAGTCGTCGTCGTCGTCGTCGTCGTCGTCGTCGTCGTCGTCGTCGCCGTCGTCGTCGTCGTCGTCGTCGTCGTCGTCGTCGTCGTCGTCGTCGTCGTCGTCGTCGTCGTCGTCGTCGTCGTCGTCGTCGTCGTCGTCGGCGGCACTCCTGGAATGGTCGGGGACGTCGCTGGGCGCGCCGGGGGGCGCCGGCGGCGTCGCCGCCAGACGCCGCTTGCGCGGGCGACGCCTGCGCCGACGACGCCGCCGGGGGGGGGGGGGCCCGGCTTCAGAGGGGGGGGGGGCCGACGGAGAGGGCGGGGAAGTGTCGGCGGAGAGTGCTCGCAGTCTTTCGACAAGGTTCCGCGGTGGCCGGGGGAGCTCTCCAGCCCCAGGGGCGCGGGGCGCGGAGAGGAGCACGGCGCCGCGCGCGGGGCGCGGAGAGGAGCACGGCGCCGCTCGCGACCGCGGGCGCGTGGCGCAAGCGCTCGGACGTTCGAAGTTCGAGGCTCTCGGGCGATTGAATGTTCCGAGGCCTCCGGGCGTTTTTGGACGTTCGAAGATCGAGATTTTCCGGCGCTTTCGGACGTTCGAAAGGCTCTCGGACGTTCGAAATTCAAGCCTGTCGAATTTCCAGGCGTTCGAGCGCTTTCGGGCGTTCGAAATTCAAGGCTTTCGGGTGCTTTCGGACGTTCAAAGGTCGAGGGCTTCGGGCGAAGGCCATGTAGGCCGATGTCAGATCGGCGTTGTCGTCGTGCGGTTTTTGATCGGGCTGTCACTCGCCCCCAAAATGGTCGAACATGTTCTGCAGATTTCGGCAGATTTTCGACCGCTTACGAAACCCAGACGATTTTCAGAAGCTGCGCCACGTCGAGACCGTTCGGGGGGTGCCGCGAGCGGCTGGAACGGCCGTAATGACGCCCGCCTAATCTTGAAAGCCACCTGGCGCCGTGGCTGGCGTCACGGCTCGGCGTTGTGGCTGGCGTCGTCGTGGTCGTGGTCGTGGTCGTGGTCGTGGTCGTGGTCGTGGTCGTGGTCGTGGTCGTGGTCGTGGTCGTGGTGGTGGTGGTGGTCGTCGTCGTCGTCGTCGTCGTCATCGCCGCGGCCGCCGCCGCCGCCGTCGGGTCCGTCGTCGCCGCCGCCGCCACCGCCGCCAACATCGTCGACGTCGTCACCGTCAAAATCGTCGTGGGCGTCGTCGTCGTCGTCGTCGTCGTCGTCGTCGTCGTCGTCGTCGTCGTCGTGGTCGTCGTCGTCGTCGTCGTCGTCGTCGTCACCGCGGCCGCCGCCGCCGCGGCCGTCGCCGCCGCCACCACCGCCATCGTCGTCGTCGTCGTCGTGCTCGTGGTCGTCGTCGTGGTCGTCGTCGTCGTCGTCGTCGTCGTGGTCGGGCGTCGTCGTCGTCGTCTTCGTCGCCGCGGCCGCCGCCGCCGCGGTCGCCACCACCGCCGCGGCCGCCGCCGCCGCCACACCGCCATCGTCGTCGTCGTCGTCGTCGTCGTCGTCGTCGTCGTCGTCGCCGCGCCGCCCCGCCGCGGCCAGCCGCGGCCGCCGCCGCAGCCGCCGCCACGCCGCAATCGTCGTCGTCCGTCGTCGTCGTCGCGGCCGCCACCGCCGCCGCGGTCGCACCACGCCGCGGCCGCCGCCGCCGCCACACCCGCCATCGTCGTCGTCGTCGTCGTCGTCGTCGTCGTCGTCGTCGTCGTCTTCGTCGTCGTCGCCGCGGCCGCCGCCGCGGCCGCCGCGGCCGCCGCCGCAGCCGCCGCCACCGCCGCAATCGTTGTCGTCGTCGTCGTCGTCGTCCTCGTGACAGTGGTCGTCAACAAAGTCGTCGTCGTCGGCGTCGTCGTCGTGGTCGTCGTCGTCGTGGTCGTCGTCGTCGTCGTCGTCAGAGTCGTCGTCGTCGTCGGCGTCGGCGTCGTCGTCGCCGCGGCCGCCGCCAACACAGCTACGGCCGCCGCCGCCGCCGACACCGCCGCCATCATCGTCGTCGTCCTGGTCGTCGTCGTCGTCGCCGCAGCGCCCGCCGCGGCCGCCGCGGCCGCCGCGGCCGCCGACACCGCCGCCATCATCGTCGTCGTCAAAGTTGTCGTCGTCAAAGTCGTCGTCGCCGACGTCGTGGTCGTCGTGGTTCGTTGTCGTCGTCGTCGTCGCCCTCGTCGCCGCGGTCGCCGCCGCCGCCATCGTCGTCGCTGTCGTCGTGGTCGTGGTCGTCGTCGTCGCGGCCGCCGCCGCGGCCACCGCCGCCGTTGCCACCGCCACCGCCGCTATCGTCGTCGTCGTCGTCGTCGTCGTCGTCGTCGTCGTCGTCGTCGTCGTCGTCGTCGTCGTCGTGGTCGTCGTCGTCGTCGTGAACGTCGTCGTTGTCGTCGCAGCGGCCGCCGCCGCCGCCACCACCACCGCCATCGCCTGTCGTTGTCGTTTTCGTCGTCGTCGCCGTCGTCGCCGTCGTCGTCGTCGTCGTCGTCGTCGTGGTCGTCGTCGTCGCGGGTCGTCGTCGTCGTTCGCCGCGCCGCCCACCGCCGCCACCGTCGTCGTCGTCGTCCTCGCGGCGTCGACGCCGTCGTCGTCAAATATCGTTGTCGTCGTCTTAGTCCATCGTCGTCGTCGTAGTCGTCATCGTCGTCGTCGTGGCGCCGCGGGGCGCACGGCGCGGCGGCGGCCGGCCCACCCCCCACCCCCCCTCGCCCCCAGCCCGCGGTTGCGCTTCTACCCTTGGTTGTGGCCGCTCCTCCTTCTCCTCTCGTCCTCCTCGTCCTCCTCCCCGTCCTCCCTCCTCCTCCTCTCCTCCTCCTCCCTCCTCCTCGTCGTCGTCCCTCCTCCTCCTCCTCCTCCTCCTCCTCCACCTTCCTCCTCCTTCTCCTCTTCCTCCTCCTGCTCCTCCTCCTTCTCCTCCTCCTCCTCCTGCTCCTCCTCCTCCTCCTCCTCTTTCTCCCCCTCCTTCCCCGCCTCTACCCCTGGGTGTGGCCGCGATGCCGCCCCGCGCCCACTGCCAGGGTGGTGGAGCCCTGGCTGGCCGCCCTGGCCGCTCCAAGGTGAGGCACCTCGCCCTGTGCTTGCCCTCCGCTCCCGCTTCTTCTTTTTCTTCTTCTTCTTCTTCGTCTTATTATTATTATTCGTCTTCTTCTTCTTCTTCCTCGGTTTTCTTCCCGAGGCCGCCCACCTGTTCTCGCGCTCCCCTCCTCTTGCCGCCGGACAGTCAGCGCTTGCCTCCTCCGGGCCCGCTCGAGCGCGCGTGCGGACGGTTTCTGCCGCGCTGCGGCGTCAAAAAGTTGATGCGTGGTGCTCGTTCTTCCGTGACCCCCGTGGGGTTACCCGGCGCCTTCCAGCTTGTTCAAGTACTGGAAGAAGTTGTGCTCCGTCATGCGGAAGGCGGAGAGCAGCGCCGACCGCACCGACAGCTCGCAGCTGACCTCCCGCTTGCTCTGGTGCCGCAGGCAGTCGAAAACGCTGCGGTCGAGGCAGGTGGCCTGGGGGAGCAGGGCACGTACGCAACCATTCGGAGGTCCACGCAGACGTCCAGAGCAGACGACACGAGTCGGAACTGTCTGAGGTCCCCTCGGCCCATCCTTTCGCGCCCCCCCTCCTAAGTCAAGCCAGGAGGGCGTGTATGCCGCACTTGGGCTCAGGGTTGGCCTGGACAGGACCGATGTCAGTGCACTAGTAGGATCCCCAGCGCCGGCCCCGAAAAAAGAGGACGCACGATAAGGATGCAAGGGCCTTGGAAGGCCATGTCGACGCTTTGCGAGCGGGGCGCGGCCAGCGAAAGCGACCAAGGATGGGCCGAAGGGGAAGAATGCAAGGGTAACCTTGGAAAGTCGCTCATCCACACAATGCCGGTTGACAGTTTCCGAAATCATGTGCTTACGACGTGTATTGAAATTCCTCTGCAGCCCTGTCCACTTGCACCAATCCTGGCTAGGCCCACCCCGAGGTCAGGACCAGCCCCCTGGCTTTGCTGGGAAGGCCACGCCAGGATCTGTGCTGGCAGGCACGCGCGATGAGAGACCCAGACATCCGGCGTCTCGAAAAAATCGAGACGACAATTTGTCACAATTGTCGGCCTCTCGGGGCCTTCGCTGGGCCTCGGGGCCGTCAAAAACCGACTCGGGATGACAAACCAGTCCCGATGAAGTGGTCGGGAGGTCGAGAAAATCGAAAAGGCAGATGTCTGGGATCTCGAGGAAACCAAAGGGTACCGATATCGCTGCTCCCCGGACCTCCCCCAGGGTGCATACCGGCCAGAATGTCGACGCGAATCCAGCAGTGGCGACGAGGCCTCCCAGGAGGCCTCCCAACGGCGAAAACAAGGGAAGGGTAGCGGCGGGTAGCGACATCCTCCTCCTCCTCCTCCTCTCCCTCTCCCTCCTCCTCCTCCTCCTCCTCCTCATCCTCCTCCCTCCTCCTCCTCCTCCTCCTCTCCTCCTCCCCCCTCCTCATACCTCCCTCTCCTCCTCCTCCTCCCTCCCCCCCTCCTCCTCCTCTCCTCCTTCCCCTCCTCCTCCTCCTCCTCCTCCTCCTCCTCCTCCTCCTCCTCCTCCTCCTTACCCACCCCAGGTCTTTTCCTCCTCTGAGGTCTTGCCAGGAGAAACCCCAGGGGCGCATCCCTCGTCGACTCCGAGCTGCGCCGTGTGCTCCAGGGCTCTGCAGGCCCATAGGGAGTCCGTCGGTTCTCGTGGGGCACCCGTTGGGTAGGCCGACTTTTCGTCTGTAAGGCGAGGCCAGAATTAGGTCGGGCCTGTCCCCCTACAGGGGGATTTTGAAGGAAACATGAAAAAAAAACCCAAAAAATACGACCCAACTGCTAAAAAATAGTCAAAAAATAGTCCCCAGGCTATTTTTGTTCACTATTTTCGAATTTTCCTCCTGTAGAGGGACAGGCCCGACTTAAGGCCAGGACGAGGATAAATTCAGGCGAGGATGAATCGAAGACCTCTGAGATCAGGCGCCTCTGGCTTGCCACCGCTCGGACGTCCATTCCCCGTGCCTGTTTCGATGCCGTGCGCGCCTTGCTTCGCAAGATGACCCCAAATACTCCTCGATGCCAAGCTGGAGAATGTATCGGGCGCCGCGGCCTTCTCAGAGCGATCTGGAACGCTCTGGAACGGATTTCTCCTTGACCTCGCCCCGCCCGAATCTAGTGTGTCCACTGCATGGTTGGCGCCCCCAGATGGCCACGAACTCGCTGCAAGAGGCGCCGGAGTGACCGTCGAACACCCCGAAGAGGCCGCAGACGACCCCGCGGCAGCCGCCCACGGCGTCTGCGGGCACGCCCGGCCGCGTGACGAGGCGGTCCTCCATCGCGGCCTTGCCCTGGCCCTTAACCTGGTGGGTCCTCAAGGGGAGGCGCAGTTCGCGGGATCGGCTCGAGCAGCTGATTTCTCCAGCGCCCTCCGGCGCCAGGGGCGCCAAGGTCTCGAGGAGCGCGCCCGGCGGGGGGAGCCGACGCCAGCTTCGTGCAGCAGATTTCGTGCCCCCCCCCTCTCGTCCGACCCGATCCTCAAGGGGCAGCTGAGCTCGCGCTTTCGTGCTCTTGCGCTCCGCGAAGCGCGAAGAACTTCGCGCTCTCGCGCCGCCTCCCCCGAGGGGGAGGAGAGGAGGAGGATGAGGAGCGGCGAGCCGCGAGGCCGCGAATCACTTCGCGCCCTCGCGGCGGGCAGGTGCCCACGCCCACCACCTGGGGAGCCAGGGCCCCGACGAGGAGGAGGAGGAGGAGGAGGAGGAGGAGGAGGAGGAGGAGGAGGAGGAGGAGGAGGAGGAGGAGGAGGAGGAGGAGGAGGAGGACCCCCGGGAGGCGGTGGACGTGGACGTGCGTGGGCCCCCCTGGGCCCGGGAAGCTCGATCCCCCAGGCGGAGGCTCTGGATACACCCCCCGCTTCCGGAAGCACGCGCGGGCACGGCTGCGGCGTCGGACCTGGAGGAGGAGGAGGAGGAGGAGGAGGAGGAGGAGGAGGAGGAGGAGGGGAGGAGGGAGGAGGAGGAAGGGAGGAGAAGGAAAGGAGGAGGAGGGAAAGGAGGAGGAGGGAGGAGGAGGAGGAGGAGGAGGAGGAGGAGGGGAGGAGGAGGAGGAGGAAAGGGAGGAGGGGGAGGAGGGAGGAGGAGGAGGAGGAGGAGGAGGAGGAGGAGGAGGAGGAGGAGGAGGAGGTAAGGAAGGGAGGAGGAGGAGGAGGAGGAGGAGGAGGAGGAAGAGGAGTAGGAGGGGGAGGAGGAAGAGGAGGAGTAGGAGGGGGAGGAGGACAAGCTAGGTGCGCTCGCGCCATATCCGACGTCCTAACCCTTCCTCCCATCCCTTACCATGGCGTAGATCTCTTCTCCAGTCGCACAATCTGATGTCGTAGCATGGCATAGCATTGCATGACATAGCATGGTGTTGACGATCAACGCGTAGCATGACATAGCATGGCGTGACGACGCCCCTAAGTGGGGTGGCCTTCTGCGGCCCAACAAAAATCAATGAATCGGCACCGAATGTGTAATCACTTCCGATGGTTTCTTCGGGAGGCCATTTTCTAGACTTTGGAGCCTATTTGGAAGGACCGAAATCATGCCGTGGCATGGCATTGGAAATAATGACGCGACCGCTGCAGCGGGAGCACGCTTCGGAACGAGCGGAAGCGCATAAATGAGGCCAGCGCTGTAGCGGGAGCACGATTCGGGACGAGCGGTGGCCCGAAAATGGAGACAGCGCCTCAGCGGGACCAGCATTTTGAAAAAAAACCCAACCAAAACCTGTTTCCCGGTAATCCTGTGGAAAAAGCCAGTGTGCGGAGGGGGGCCTGCCTTTTCCCGGAAGCCACCAGGGGAGAGAGGAGAGTAGTATTCTCATATTGTGATATTGTGGAGGAGGACGAGGAGGAGGAGGAGGAGGAGGAGGAGGAGGAAGGAGGAGGAGGGGAGGAGGAGGAGGGGGAGGAGGAGGAGGAGGAGGGAGGAGGAGGAGGAGGAGGAGGAGGAGGAGGAAAGGGAGGGGAAAAGGGAGGAGGGGAGGAGGAGGTGGACGAGGAGGAGAAAAGGGAGGAGGAGGAGGAAGAGGGAGGAGGAGGCCGCACGGATCGCGGGGATGGCTCGACCTCGAGCGGATCGCGGCCCGTCCCCGCAGCGCAGGTCGCTCGACATCGGCCCCGCGCGGGCCACTGCCCGCCGCGTCGGCGCGGCGCGACCGCGGGCGCCACGAGGCCGCTCTTACCGGGGCCTCGCTCCCCCGGGGCGCCCTCGGCCCCGGGGGAACCTCCGAGGCCGGGAGGCCCACGTTCTTCTCCTGCCCCACCCTCCTCCGCCTCTCTGCTCGCCTGCTCCTGCTCCTCCTCCTCCTCCTCCTCCTCCTCCTCCTCCTTCCCCTGCTCCTCCTGCCTCCTCCTCGTTCTCCTCCTTCCCCTGCTCCTGCTCCTGCTCTGTTTCTCCTCTCCTCCTCCTCCCTCCTCGCCCTCCCTCCTCCTCCTCCCCTCCTCCTTTCCTCCTCCTCCTCCTCCTCCTCCTCCTCCTCCTCCTCCTCCTCCTCCTCCTCCTCCTCCTCCTCCTCCTCATCTACTCTGAATCCGCGGCCCCGCGGCAGCGAGGTCCCCCCCCAAAAGAGGCCCGTGCAAGACAAAAGCCGAGGGAACCCTGAGATCCTGGCGTTGCCACTTTTCCGAGGGGTATCCTCGCAGATGGATCTGGTTCGAGGCTCGACACATGATACAGAAAGCTGGGGTGTAGGGTTCCGGTCGTGACTTTTCGCGAGGTTGCATTTTTTCGAGACGTCGGATCTCAGGGAAGGGCATCGGTGAATCGGCTCGGCATGCATCACACGGGTCCTGACGGACACGGGTCCTGGACCTTTTGGGGTCTTCAGGGCCAGCTCTTCGTCCCGAGTAACTCTGTCAAGGTCCCGAGGGCCCGTGGAGGGGCCCGAGAACCCGAAACCGGCGGAAAGCTCGTGGATCCATGGGCTCGATGGCGATCCGCGCGCGCCCGTCCCTCCGGGGGTCCCGCACTGCATCCCGGACGAGAGCAGGTGGCGGATGAGCTCCGACCTCTGCGCCACGGTCTCGGGGTCCGGGGCGCTGGGCCCCGCCACGCCCTCCGTCAGCGACGGGGCCGTCGGTCGCCGCCACCGTCGCCATCGCCGCCGTCGCCGGCAGCATCGCCACCGCCGCCGCCGCTGCCGCCAGCGTCGCCGCCGCCGGCCGCAGCCGCCGCCGCCTCCACCCGCACGAGCGCCGCGCACGGCTGCCCGTCGGTGTGCGTGGTCAGGTCGTAGGAGACGACGGCCCCCTCGCAGATGGCCTGCGCGTGGGGGCCCTCGGGGCCGCCGTCGAGCCGGTTGCGGTGCACGAAGACCTCCTGGCGGAGGGCATCCAGCATGCGACACGAATCGAAACTTGCGGAAGTCCTCTCGGCCTGGCCCCCCGGAGGCTCCAATGGTACCCGAGATGGCTCGAGGTAGCTCCGAAATGGCCCATAGGAGTCCCAAGAGGGCCCCATAATACTGGCTTCAAGACGGCCGCATGAGCGCCCAAGAGCGCTCCAAGAGCGCCCGCACCTTAACACTACTTTCCGGGCCTAAGAGAAACAACGGCGCTGGTCTCGCTTCCGACTTGTTTGATCGATGTCCTCCAAGAGGCCCCCCCTGACCCCTGAGGCCGCAAGAGGGCCTGGGCACATTCGGCATTCAACGGTGACAAAGGCAGTCTGGCTTACTGCCCCTTCCTTGCCGCGCCCCCCTCCTCCTCGGCCACACCATGAGGGCGCAGATGCCGATCCTGTGCCCCGGGTGGGCCTGGCAAGAATCGGCGCAGGTGCCTTGGGCCTCTGGAGAAGCACGAGCCACGGCATGCGCAAAGACTTTCCGAGGTCCGCCCAAACTTCCTGGGTCGGCACTGGAAACCCCCTTCCCCGCACCCCTGACGGCTTTGCGAGAAGGGAGAGGACGAGGAATGATAAAATGGAGCGGAGTGGCATGGAATGGACAGGGATGGGATGGAGTAGACCTTTCGACATGCGAAGTAACATGCCCTAACGAACCACCACCTAAGCCGCGCGCTTGGATTTAATTCGGCGAACCCACTGATCAAAGTAGCCGATCCAGAAGACGTAGAACAGGCAGATACCTGGAGCTCGCGAAAATCGACCAAGAAACCATACAGCACGCGCAGCGTGGAATTGTCCGAGGCCCGCTTAAACCTTGGATGAATCGACTACACGCACGAGTGACCCTGGGTAAGAGTGACCTTTGGTGCGCGGCTTTGGGGGGTCCGCGGGGGGGGCAAGCACAAGCGCGCAAGACGCCACTGCCGCCTCGCGTTCGGCGATCGGGGGGCCCAACTGGGCCCGCACCAAAGGTCACTCCGGCGAAAGGTCACTCTTACGTCTAGTCGAATGACGAAGTACAAACGAGGTCAACTCAATGCGGCCCATTACAATGATGGAACACCACTGGCCATCGGGCAACCCCTAATTTCCGAATCGGTATACCAGCGTCGCGCGGCTCCCAAATAAGATATTCTCTCCCACGAACTGCCTCGCCAACCACCAACTAATGAATAACGTCTTTCGTCCATACTTGCCTGAAGCGGCTGAAGCCTACGGAACACATGGGTGCCGAAGATGAGTGCCTCCAACGCGCCACACTGCACGATGAACTGAACATAGCCATGTTCCGTCACTCCTGCAGCCCAGAAATATCCGTCCATCTCGCCAAATAAAGCGTATGGCCCACACCGAATCTAGGTGACAAGCAGCCACACCAGCTGCGCAGTCATGCAGAACACAACACGTTGAATAGCGAAGCGCGTTTAATACCCTCTGCTAGGGGAAAGCCATTTGTCCAAACACAACCACCGATTGAAGTACACCCAGGCGGGAGGCGTTGGGTCAGTGCACGCAGGCTCTCATTGTCCTTGCCGACTTGGTTGGATGCCGAAGAGATCGAAGAGGAAGGTACGAGCCAGAAAAAGATGCGCAGCAGGCTGAAAGACACCACTGCGCAGCAGCTCCCATGAGAAAAACCAGCTGTTGGTACGCAGCCTTGCCCCAGCAATCCCATACTGCTTGAAGACCGCGCGCGCGCAAACTGGTACACCCAAGTGGGAGGCGCTGGATCGGTGCACAAAGGTTCCTGAGGTCCCTGCCGCCTAAGATGGATGCCGAAGAATAGGCGCAGGAAAGCGACCCATAAGAATACGCACAGCAAAACAACATCTACTACTGTGCGACAGTTCCCAGGAAGAAATATACAATACATCGATCGACATTCGCTCCGCTTAGCCACCGGGACCGCTGTCGAGAGGATGCCACTGGGTGCCCCTCAAGCGCCGACGTGGAGGCGCGGAGCTAGGAGTCCCATGGCACGTGTGAGCCCACACGGGTGCGACATGCGCCTCGGGCCCTCTGTGCTCGAGGGAGGAGGAGGAAGGAGGAGGGAGGAGGGAGGAGGGAGAAGGGAGGAGGAAGGAGGAAGGAGGAGGAGGAGGAGGAGGGAGGAGGGAGAAGGGAAGAGGGAGAAGGAGCGGAGGGAGGAGGGAGGGGAGGAGCAGGAGAGGAGGAGAGGGAGGAGGGAGGAGGAGGAGGAGGAGGAGGAGGAGGAGGAGGAGGAGGGAGGAGGAGGAGGAGGAGGAGGAGGAGGAGGAGGAGGAGGAGGGAGGGAGGAGGGAGGAGGAGGAGGAGGGAGGAGCAGGAGGAGGAGGGAGGAGGAGGAGGAGGAGGGAGGAGGAGGAGGAGGAGGAGGAGGAGGAGGGAGGAGGAGGAGGGGAGGAGGAGAGGAGGAGGAGGAGGGGAGGAGGATGGAGAGGAGGAGGAGGAGGAGGAGGAGGAGGAGGAGGAGGAGGAGGGGAGGAGGAGGAGGAGGGAGGAGGAGGAGGAGGAGGAGGAGGAGGAGGAGGAGGAGCAGGAGGGAGGAGGAGGAGAATGGAGGATGGAGGATACGAGGATGGAAGAGGGAAGGCAGAGAAGAGAGGTGACGTTGACACTGCGGACGCCGGGCGCCGCTCCCAGCGCGATTCGCGCGTTGGGAAAATCTGCGCGGACCTTCGAGAGATTATGCCCACGCACTGCTGGGCCTCGCTTCAGGGGGGGGGCCGATGCATGGGAGGGGGGAGGGGAGGTGCACCGCTCGGGCCCTACAAGCCCCCTCCGGGGCCCCAGAAGGCCCCATTTCTGAAGCGTTCCCTGCCCCCCCAGTTATCGCCCCCACGTTGCGCGACGCCCAACGTTTTGGACGCCCGAAATGGGTACGGAAAGAATGGGTACAATGCCCAACAGCAGTTCCTGTTCATTCTGAACAGGACTCGCTGTCGGTGTCGCCGCGGCCTGTGTCCATTTGAGCCAGAAGGCCGCCTGCCCAACAGCGGCCGCTGTTGGTTTGGGAGAGACAACATTTGTTGTTGGGCATTGTGCCCATTCTTTCCGTACCCATTTCGGGCGTCCAAAAACGCTGCCTCTGCTCTCCGCATCCCGGCCGAGGTCGACCCCTCCTGAGGCCAGTCCTGGCCCCAGGCGGCCTGCGGCGCAGGAGACGACGAGGAGTGCAGAGGTCCTCGAGCGCTCTCGATCCTTGACCTCGGATCCTCCTCGATCCTCCTCCTCGATCCTCCTCATCGATCCTCCTCCTCCTCGATCCTCCTCCTCGATCCTCCTCCTCGGATCCTCCTCCTCCTCGATCCTCCTCGATCCTCCTCCTCCTCCTCCTCGGATCCTCCTCGATCCTCCTCGATTCTCCTCCTCGGTGCTCCCCGATCCTCGATCTGCGCACGAATTTGCTCTGCCCCCCACCGGTCCTCTGGCGCGGGGCGGCCCGGCGCCGCGAAGGGCACGATCTTGCCGAAGCCCTTCTCGCGGCTGTACCTGCCATTGGAAGCCTTGCAGAGGGCGTCCGAGTGCCGTCGGGATCCTGTGCCCGGCGACACGCTGTGCCCTGCGAGCGGACAGCACTTCGCTCCGCGCCGCGGGGCGGGAGGCTCTGGAAAGCTCGGGACGTTGGCCCCTCGGGGCCGGGAAATGGATGGCGGGTCGCACCGAGGCGCGGGGGGCCGGAACTGGCGGAGCGACACGCTATCCAATTCATCGCCGATGCGCTGGTGACGTCGGCGTGGAGAAAATCGGGCTGCACATCGAGCCGCTTTGCCGATGCATCAGCACTGCGGCGCGATCCTCCGACACCATCTACTCGGACCCCATCTGGGAGGGCAAAGACAATGGCGCCACGAGGGATCAGTGCACACACGGCTGCTTGTGAGCTGGCTCGGTGCCTTCGGTGATGGGTGTCGGCAGGGGGGGGAACTGGCTCAGGTCGGTGGTTCAGGGATGGGGTCCTGAGGGATGGGGTCCTAAGGATAGGAATGGATCGAGAGATGGATTTACATTGTGTGCGGCACCTCGTCCTGCGGATAGCATGCCTCAGGACCCCATCTTTGGGGTGGGGGTGGGGGGCGCAACGACCTGCAATCGGCAATGCACCGCCGACAACTCGGCGGTGCAGGCCCCAGGTGGCAAAAGACAGGGCGCTCCTCGGCGGGGTTGGGGTCCGAGGCCCGGGTTGGCGACGGAAGGGCGATCGGAGGTCGATGCGGCCGACCCCCTCCTTCCGTGTCGTTGCCCTTTTCTGTCGTCCTCCCTCCTCCCTCCCCTCCCCTCCCCTCTCCTCCTCCTCGCACTCCCTGTCCTCCCCTTTCCTTTGCCTGGCCCGCTTCACACGTGTCGGCTCGTCCCCCAGTGCGAACACGAGCCCGCGCGGGCCAGTGCAGAGGCCGAGGTTTCCGTCGGTTCCCGTCGGCTTCCCTGCCGTTGCCCCTGGTCCAGGGGAGCTGACGGCGCATGACACAGCAACCACCAGCCTCGAACCAATGTTTGGACATGCCTTACGGCTGGTGGCAAAGTGCACGCCGCCACCCTCCCACGAGGCCCGGGAGCCAATCCGCCGCACACGCCCGATGCCTCGACTCTTCCACAGAGCGGACGGACAAAGGTCTCGACCCCTTCCCCGGGACTGGTGTTCCACCCCAGGCCTCTTGTTGTCCGGAGCCCAGAGCCGGCCTCCAGAGTTCCAGATGCATGAACCATCTGTCGCTTGGTTTTTCCCAACCATCCTGTGGTGTTGGGTCCTCGTTTTGAAGAGACGGTGCCCCGCGTCTCCTCCTCTCCTCCTCCGCCTCCTCTCCTCTCCTCTCCTCGTTTCGTGGCCCCATAGGGAGCTCCACCGAAGGCCCCAGTGGCTGCGCTCCCATGCGCCCACCGCACCCATTTCGGCACACCCCTAACACTTTCCGTGGCCCCATAGGGAGCTCCAGCGAAGGCCCCAGTGGCTGCGCTCCCATGCGCCCACCGCACAGATTTCGGCACACCCCTCATACGTTTCGTGGCCCCATAGGGAGCTCCAACGAAGGCCCCAGTGGCTGCGCTCCCATGCGCCCGCCGCACAGATTTCGGCACACCCCTCACACGTTTCGTGGCCCCATAGGGAGCTCCACCGAAGGCCCCATGGCTGCCGTCCGCATGCGTCCCGCACACCCATTTCGGCACACCCCTCACACGTTTCGTGGCCCCATAGGGAGCTCCACCGAAGGCCCCAGTGGCTGCGCTCCCATGCGTCACCGCACCCATTTCGGCCACACCCCTCACACGTTTCGTGGCCCATAGGGAGCTCCAGCGAAGCCCAGTGCTGCGCGTCTCCCATGCGCCCGCCGCACCCATTTCGGCACACCCCTCACACGTTTCGTGGCCCCATAGGGAGCTCCACCGAAGGCCCCAGTGCTGCGCTCCCATGCGCCCACCGCACCCATTTCGGCACACCCCTCACACGTTTCGTGGCCCCATAGGGAGCTCCAGCGAAGGCCCCAGTGGCTGCGCTCCCATGCGCCCGCCGCACCCATTTCGGCACACCCCTCACACGTTTCGTGGCCACATAGGGAGCTCCAGCGAAGGCCCCAGTGGCTGCGCTCCCATGCGCCCACCGCACCCATTTCGGCACACCCCTCACACGTTTCGTGGCCCCATAGGGAGCTCCAGGAAGGCCCCAGTGGCTGCGCCCCCATGCGCCCACCGCACAGATTTCGGCACACCCCTCACACGTTTCGTGGCCCCATAGGGAGCTCCAGCGAAGGCCCCAGTGGCTGCGCTCCCATGCGCCCCCGCACAGATTTCTGCACACCCCTCACACGTTTCGTGGCCCCATAGGGAGCTCCAGCGAAGGCCCAGTGGCTGCGCTCCCATGCGCCCACCGCACCCATTTCGGCACACCCATCGTGGTCCCATGGGGAGCTCCAGCGAAGGCCCCAGTGGCTGCGCTCCCATGCGCCCACCGCACCCATTTCGGCACACCCCTCACACGTTTCGTGGCCCCATAGGGAGCTCCAGCGAAGGCCCCAGTGGCTGCGCTCCCATGCGCCCACCGCACCCATTTCGGCACACCCCTCATACGGTTCGTGGCCCCATAGGGAGCGCCATCGAAGAAGATACTCACAATTGCGGTACTCGCAACTGCATATGGTTGGGTCCTTCGTCAGGATAATGTTTGCCAAAGCGTTTGACCACGGGAGGCGAGGCTGGCGCCGCTGTATTACCAGAGAAGCTGGAAACACACGTGGCTGATTCAGACGTGAAGCATCTGAAGACCACGCACTGGATCCGCACGCTTGAGGCGTGCTGGAATGCGAAGTGCTGCCTGGCAGGGATGATCGAATCTTCCAGGGACCAGCGCTGGTCCGCGCGCACCGCCCCCCCTCCCCGCGGCGCCCAGACACGTCCCTGGCGCTCTCTAAGGAGTTGAAGACGACCAAGATGGTTCCAAGATGGCCTAGGTAGGCCACCAAGACAGCCGAGGTGGCCCAAAATGTCCCCAAGACGACCCAAGATGGCCCAAGATGGCTTTAAGACTGCCCGAAGGCTTTCAAGACGGCTCCAAGAGAATTCTTAGCAGGGCCCCGAAGATTCATTTGTTGTTTCGCATTCTCGATGTTTCGGCCTTTCGCTGGCTCAAGATGGCCCAAGAGGCCTCCAAGAGAGGCTTACGACGACCCAAGACGGCCTCAAGAGAGCTCAAGAGGCCTTGGAGACGGCCTCAACACTGCCCGAGAGGACCCTGGAAGGCCCAGGACAAACCCAAGAACCTCAAGGTAGCCCAAGAGGGCCCCTGCCTAAGAGATTACGCCTGGACGGCGCAAGACGACCTCATGACGACCCCAGGAGACCCCACACACGGCCACGAGGGACCCAAGAGAGCCCCAGGACGGCCACAAAGAAACCCAAGACAGCCCAAGAGGCCCAAAGGGACCCACAAGACTGCCCAACAGCAGCCCAGGACAGCCCCAAGACAGCTTGAATAGAATTCACGAGAGCTCGCCGCGAAGTGAAAACGAAAGGTGTCACATGTGACGGTTTCCTCCATCTCCTAATCCTATTTCTCCTAGTCCTCATCATCATCAAAGTCCATATCATCCCCACCACCGTCCTCGTCCCCGTCACCATTTTCACCATCATCGTCATCAGTGTCACCACCGCCACCGTCATCATCATCACCACTTCCATCAGCATCACCACCATAGTAGCAATTAGTTGTCTTAGCATCAGCATTATTTAGTGCAAGTGTTAGTGTTAGTGGTAGTCTTAGTGTTGGTGGTAGCGTAAGTATTAGTGTTAGTGTTGGTGTTAGTGCCAGTCTAAGCGTTAGTGATAGGGTTAGTGCTAGTGTTAGTGTTAGTAGCAGTAGTAGTGGTAGTGGCATTAGTAGTTGTAGTAGTAGTAGTAGTAGTACGAGTAGTAATAATAGTCGTCGTAGTAGTGTAGTAGTAGTAGTAGTAGTAGTAGTAGTGGTAGTAGTAGTAGTAGTAGTAGTAGTCATAGTCGTAGTAGTAGTAGTAGTAGTACTACTACTACTACTACTACTACTACTACTACTACTACTACTACTACTGCTAATACGAATACGACTACTACTATTTGTCGTGCTACTACTAGTAATAGTGGTAGTAGCGGTAGCAGTCGTAGTCGTAGCAGTAGTAGTCGCGATAGTAGCAGTAGTAGCAGTAGTCGTAGTACTAGCAGTAGTCGTAGTAGTAATAGTAGTACTAGTAGTAGTAGTAGTAGTTGCAGTAGTAGTCGTTAGTAGTAGTAGTGGTTGGGAGTAGTAGTAGTTGTAGTAGTAGTAGTAGTAGGTAGTAGTAGTAGTAGTAGTAGTAGGAGTCGTATTCGTAGTCGCAGTAGTAGTAGTAGTAGTAGTAGTAGTAGTAGTAGTAGTAGTAGTAGTAGTAGTAGTAGTAGTAGTAGTAGTAGTAGTAATAGTACACGAGCTACTACGAGTAGCAATGGTGAGAATAATCGTCGTAGTCGTAGTCTTAGTCGTAGTCGTAGTCGTAGCCGACGTCGTAGCAGTAGTAGTCATAGTAGTAGGAGTAGTAATAGTAGTATGAGTAGTAGTAAAAGTAGTAGTAGTAGTCGTAGTAGTGGTAGTAGCAGTAGCAGTAGTAGTACTAGTGGAACTAATGGGCGTAGTAGTAGTAGTAGTAGCAGTAGTACTAGTAGGAATCGTCGTCGTAGTCGTAATCGCAGTAGTGGTGGTAGTAGTAGTAGTAGTAGTAGTAGTAGTAGTAGTAGTAGTAGTAGTAGTAGTAGTAGTAGTAGCCGTAGTAGTAGTCGTAGTAGTTGTGGTAGTAGTAGTATGGGTAGTACTGAACACGATAATAGTAATAGTCGTCGCCGTCGTCGTAGTAGTAGTTGTCGGTCGTGGTAATAGTAACAATAGTATTAGTAGTAGTAGTAGTAGTAGTAGTAGTAGCAGTAGTAGTAGTAGTA